TGTATGTATATATATACATATATATCATTTCTTAAAAGGAAATCAATATTTGACAAAGACCCAAATACTAATTTCCGATGCGTTAGGCCCCATGATGAGAGCCCGCGTCATGTGCCTAAATATTCAAGACCGCAGCGTCACTAGGGATCGAACCCGTAACCTGAGCAGACTTACAGTGAACCCCGCCAACCCCGCCAACCAACATGTCACGACTTGCGGCACTTACCACTTTATTCTAGTTAGCTGGTAGAAGCAACAAAATCAAGTTTTACCTATTGAAATTAAACTCTCAATGCATAAGCAATTTTAGTTAGTTGAAAGCATAATTTATCAATCAAGATGTCCTGAATTACTTAAATGAATATTAGTTAAGTCATATTGCTTGCCTTGATGCGAGGAGATCATAGTATTTCTTTTATTTGCTCTAAATAATTTATTTTTTTTGCTGATGAAATTATTGAAGAAAGTAAGCAAACCTTATAGTCATAAAAAAAATCACTCTAAAAGAGATGATTTGTGACATATCAACGTTGGCTTTATAAATATCAACAATATTGAATGCGGAAAATATAAATAGAAAGAGGTGATTAAAAAAACATTCACACTATTAAAACATTTAGAAAACACTTTGCATGTATTTAAACACAACAAGAGAAAGTGCTATGTGATCTTCATATTTCATGCAAACATCCTTCCAAGGTTTTGTTTCCATGCAAAGAATGAGTTGTTTTTCTTCATTCTTTGAGAGCTCATTTGAAGGGGACATATATGAGAAAGATTATGGAGAGTTGATAAAAATGAAGATCAAAGGTAGCCTAAGGTTTCCAATGGGAAAGCAGAAACGAGCTAATATTTTAAAAGAATTTCAATGTTATTTAATACAAATTACGAACACTCCCTTATAGAACAACGAATGTTAGATGTTAGTTAAAGCATCTTATGATAAAGTTTTTCTAAGTCACGCCCCCCTAGTATTGTTCTATTTTAAATTCACAATCAAAGACATATTATCAATTGCCATTGTGTTGTGCTTAATGATTCTTACACCCGATCATTTACCTTCTTCTATTAGTCTTAGGGGGTGTTTGGTTGCAAGCATGATTTTATCGTTAGTAAGATTTAGTAAACCCGTTAAATCTACATTCCTGC